CCAGGGGGACACCGCTTTCTGCTCCTACTGACCAAGGGATGCCATCCACCCATCTCCAGACGGAGACGCTCATGCAACAGGAAGGTTACTGCCCAGCCACGCACCTGAAGGTGCTTCCTGAGTATTAGGGTCAATTGTCAGCGGGCAGTTATCCCTGGTGACTCTGATTGCTTTCCTGGCCTTCAACAGCGTGGACCCAGCCAAGAGGACTACAAGTGAAATGCAGGTTAAAGTAAAAACGTGAACACAAGTGTGGAAGAATGTGTCCGACTTCTGTGTAAGGGAAGGAATCCGGGAGGGAGGGAGGGAAAGAGGGAGAGAGCTTCTATCCGAGAGTACACGCCTGTCTTTCACTACACTCAGAGCCACATGGGGTTTTTTTTAAATATTCATCTGGCATGAGTTTTCTATTGCAAAACTCTAAGAGTTGGCTATATAATCATGATGAAGATGAGCCTACAAATTTCAATGTCACAGTTGGAGAGAGAGACCTCCCGGGTTGTTTACTGCATGAGAATGAGGGTGCCCGACTCCGGACAGGGTTTGGGGTCTTAGACGCCCTCTGATCTCCCCAATCCACCGAAGATACACAAAACCAGCCGCTGTTACCTTTCCCTTCATTGGCCAGGAAGACTGACAGTTAGCAATGAATAGTGCATATACTGAATATTTTGGTTAGGAGGGAGTTCTGATTAGATTCGCCATCACAGACAGGCGCTCAGACTTCAAACAAGTCAGTGGGTACCGATTTTCCGAGTCAGGAGAACACCTTTCTTCCTTGGAATACAGCAGCAAGACGCATATCTGCCTGGGTCTTAGCTCTATTCGCCTATCCAGAATAAGTCAATTGATCAAGCCAACAGCTAACAGCATGGATTATTGGCTGTGCCTCAGCCAGCGTCTGCTTTGCTCTCTGGAAACCTCTGTTCTCATCTGTAAAGTTGGAAACGATTACTTTTTTTTTTTTTTGGCACCGGGGATCAAACTTGGGTCCTTGCGATTGTGAGGCAGGTGGTGGCACCACTGAGATAAACTCCTGGCAATGATTAATGAATTTTTATAAGCCTCCAGCACCCAGAGAGGGCAAAACAGCAAATAGCTGGGGAAAGGAGAGAGAAAGAATGAAAACTAGCTATTTATTTTAAAACAAATTGAGATTTCATGGAGAATATTTTTAAATCCCTTTTATGGAAAAACAAAAGCAGCAGAAATCTAATGGTGTACCTACTGCTGAAGGGAGTTTGATAAGTGAAATATGACTGAGGTAAATTCTCAGTGCTCCAGGTCACGGAGAAAGCTGCCTGGAGGTACCCAACGTAGAAACACCACAGACACTGGAAACCCCTGGTTTAGGGAGGCCTCACATTAAGTTCCGATCAAACTGCATCCCCGGTGTGAAAAAGAGCTACAGCTGACTGCAGCAGGCCTCTGCTGATCCCCGAAAGAAAGAAACTTTCCTTCCACATTGGCTCTTCTGGATCTAAATGCAGAAACCCGTCATTGTGATTCCCCAGGAGAGGCCTCTGCAACCCTGAAAAGTGGAAAAACGAAATTATTCCAGGGGTTTACCTGGGTTTGAGCCAGGATGAAGAGCCAACTTTTTCTTCATGGCCATGGGGGAGGATTTGCCATTTTCTGCTTTCAGCCTGTGAAAGAGGCTGAGTGGTCAGAAGGCACTCCTTTCCCCTTAGGTCTGTGAAGCTGTCGGGCTGCAGGAAATCGGACTGTGGAGGGTAGGTGCTGGTGTTAACCGCTTAAAAAGCTGCATCTGTACGAGGGGGCGGAACACATTCAGCAACTGTGGCTGGGCTCTGGGCTTGGAGAGAAGTCCTCACAGCCGTCACTGGGGTAGACAATGGCCTGGACACCAGAGTGCCTTTTAGTCTTTATTCTGATTCTGCCCTCAGTGAGCCTCAAGTACTTCCGACTGTCTTATTTCGTTACCTATTTTGGGCATACCCTGCACTTTAGCATTTTACCATGAGGAGGCAGATGGATCACTTCGCAACCAGGTAGGAGGATGGGAGGTGCTGAGAATCAGTGCCCCGGGCCCAGAGATGAAGGCTAGGGGCAAGTGCGACAGTGAAGCCGCCAGCTAGAAGGGACCATCCCTGACAGTAAGGGAACAGACTTCAGGACTAGACAGTTCTGCCTGAACAAGTCAAAGCTGAAGTGGGTCAGAGCCAGGGAGCATGCTGGGTGTTGGGGTCGGGGGAGCCCACATTCCTGGTTCTTCCTGCAGAAGATGTGCATGGGGCGACTCACCTAAGGCTGCGGACAGGATGATGCTCCCAATGGGACTTCAGAGCTACCAACTGCTTACCTGATGGAGCCAGGCGCCCTCCAGGTGTATGCTTATCTAAAACTCATTCATACACTGTCCCTCGATAAAACATTAAATGTGGAGCTGTAGGTGGTAGAGCACTTGTCTAGGATGCATGAGGTCCTTTGTTCCATCCCCAGCATCACAACACACACACACACACACACACACACACACACACACACACAGAGGTTGAATTTTTTTTTCCTGCTTCCCAGTGGATATTTGTACCCAATTTTGGATGCTCCTTGCCCCCAAACAGGGCTTAGGGGCTCAGAAAAGGGTTTTCCCTCCAGCCTCAAATGGATAACAGAATTCATCTCTCCTCCTCTACTGTCAAGGCTCTGAAGAGCGCAAGTACAGTCATGTTTTCGTTAGTTTTGTAAGTAGGAGAATCAAAGCCAGGAAAGTGAAAACAGTGGCTGAAGTGCTGATTTGTGTAATAACAGCACCCAGAGCCCGATTAAGGCTCTTTTTTAATTTTTTACAAAGATCAGAGGTGCTGCTGACATAAAAAGCACCACTTCGCCAGGTGAGAAATGTTGACAGGGCTGGAGGGTACTTTTGACTCATTTACCACCTGCAAACTTGAATCCGACCCTGCGGCTCGCACACCGATCGGCCCACCACAAGAGCTGCCTCCTCTGACTCAGGTGAGCCCCGGGAGCAGGCATGACGGCCACAACTCATGTGGTCAGCCCGCGGAGTAGGGGCAGAGAGCCCGGCCCGGCAGCATGGCTGTCAGGAGCAAGGACACCGTAAGGGTGTGAGTCACTGACTGCCTGCCCCAGCCCAGCCCTGCGCACTGCTCTGTTCCCTCCTGGCACCATCTCAGTCCCCTCATTTCCTTTGCATACCCTCTCCCTCTCCAGCATTGCTTTGGCTCCTTCCCTGCAATTCCCTTCAGTAATTCAGCAAATGCTATTCATCTTATGAACTCGACTTAAGCTTTTAAAAATGGATCGCTTCCCTTTTTTGGACCCCAGCTCAGTTAGTAATTTCGATAACTACCTATTTGTATTTCTGTCTCCCTCTGCTTTGCTATGAGAGCTGCAAGGGCAGGAATTTTATCTCCGTGATCTTTGGTTCCTCCTGGCCTAACAGACTGAGTCATAAGGAAATTCTGTAATTTACTGTCCAATGATGTTTTTCTTGGCCTTACCACGTCTGAATCCCTCACCACACCCTCGGTGCATCCACCTCTCACTTAAAAGCACTTATCACTCATCCTGTTATCTATTGCCATAAGGATAAACCTGATTTATTACTTTTTTCTATTCTGTGGTTGGCTGATCTATAGCAGTGGTCAAGAACCCATGGCACGTGTGCTGCAGCAAGCTGTTTATACCACTGAAAGTTCTAAATGCTTCGCCATCACTGCCTTAGAGGCACAATTCTGTTCCACGTGGCGTGGACCATGGTCTCCACCAGTAGCTGCCCTCAGCTGGGTGCTCTGCTGGGGCCAGAACAGCAATGACTTCGTTCAGAAGACCAGGTGCGGGCTTGTGGCTGGGGCCTCAGAGTTCCTTGTGTGTGGCCTCTCTTCCTCCACAGTCTAAAGGGGCTTCCTCACAGCATGGCGGCTGGGTTCCGGGGCGAGCAGAAACTCCCTGTGACGGCTGATCTTGATTGTCAGTGTGACTGCGTTAAGAGATCCCTAGGAAATTAGTAAAGCTCGCTTCCGGGTTTGCCTGCAGGGGCGGTTCCAGAGATGATTGGCACAAAGGCCAGCAGACTGAGGGGGCATCCTGTCCGGATGGTGGGCAGCACTGTCCAATAGTCTTGCACCTTGGATGGAATGAAACAGAGGAGGAGGGGAAGTTGACTTGTGCTTAGGAGCTCCATCGTGACCCGTGTTGCTGCTGCCACTGCCTGTGGACGTCAAACTCCAGCTTTATTAACTTTCCAGCCGGGACCGGCGATTCTCCATGGGCTTCTAGGCCTTCAGCCTCTGGTGGGGGCTACACCTTTGACGCCTCTTGTTCTGCAGCTGCCAGCTTCTTGGTCTGAGGAGCCACTGGATCCTCTGGCTCTCCAACCCGCAGAAGGCCATTGGGGACCCTCCTGCCTTGGGTCCGTGAGGCTGTGTAACAAATCCTCTTGCAAAACTGACTCTCTTCCTCTGGAGAACTCACACCAATATTCTCCGTAAGCTCAGAACCACAGCAGCATCGTTCCCACAGCGTTCTCCTGGCCAGGGCAAGGCACATGTCAGGCCATGTTCAAGGGGATGGCAGAAAATTTGTGAGTACAGGGAAGGGAGAAATTGTTAGTGACCAGCTTTAAAGACAATCTCCACACAGTGAGTGATGCTTATTACAGTATCTTTGTTTTCACTGAAGAATTTCCTCTATGCCAAAATGTTTGGCAACTTACTAGCTTTACTCATAGACCAACTTGACCAGATGATACAATCTCTCTCTGCCTTCATCCAGTGCTAATTTGCATTCTCCCTGCCTTCTGGTCTACAGATAAGTCCTTTGCGCACTCAAACAACTAGGGTGGGAAAGCCTTCAAAATTCCCACTGACACGGGGTAGGGAATAGTCTCTTCCTGTTTGGAGTCTACTGTGGAAAATAAGATCCCTGCTGTGCCAAAATATGAATACTTCCTACAAACATCTTCCCCAGGATACCACGTGAGCACTAGAGTTTCATCAGTTAATTTTTATTGTTGCTAATTACAGCAAGAACAAACCTTAAAATTTCAATGGCCAAACACCTCAGCATTTAATGCTTCTTCCTGCAACAGCCCAATGTCTGTCCATGGCTACAGGGTTAGTTGTCCCTGCCGTTGTCCCTGGTGGCAATGCCACCACATTCACCCCATGTCCTCTGGGGTCTTCCTGGGCATTGACATCCAGCCTGTGGAGAGGAAAGAGCAGGTACATTTTTCTAGGCCCGGCCTGGAAATAGCACATACCATTTCTTTTTGTATTTCAGTGGCCACAGTTTGGTCATATGGCCAAATCTAACAGTTGGAAACTAAAATACAGTCCCGCTGTGTAGAGGAAACAAGTCCAGTGAGGAACAGCCATCTGTGTCATCATTAATGGCACATATACAGACAGTGTTACTTGTGCCTGGTACCACGTAGCTCATGCTCATTGGGAGCACTCACATTTGGGAAGAGAAAAGTGAGGGTGGCTGTGAAATTAAAGGAGTGCTTGGCAGACAGCATGAGCACGGTCCCCCTCCAACTTTTCTGGAGCATAGAAAAGCTCTCTTCTGGCGTGTACACAGTGCCATCTGCTGCTCAGAAGAAGAAGTGGGTGGGGAGGATCAGAGTAAGCCAGGGTAGAAGAATCACAGTGTAGTCGTCTAGAATCTCAGTTGATTTGGTAACCATAGAAAATTAGAAAAAACTCATGCAGCCATCATTTTCCTTTAGCAGATATCAGCCAAAAATGAGGATTGGGAGAGGACTTGTTCGCTTGGTTTTTCTTAGGTTAGCTCTCTGTGCAGTTAAACTACATAGGACTGGGACTCGGGAGGAGAATGTGAACACTCGGCCGTAGGGTAGGAGGGCAGCTGTGTAAAGTGGAGCCTTTGAGCGGACTGGAAAGACCTGGATTCTAGTTCTGGCTTTGCCTTCGTTTTAGAATGAAAGGAAAACAAGAGTTCTCAAGATCTTTCCAGTTCAGAGCTGTAATCCAATGTATCTGACCCATTTTCAAGATGGCACTGGAAGCCAAGTGAATATAAAAGATCCCTTAAATAGAATTTTTTTGTTTTCCTTTAAAAATTCAGATCTATATTCTCTGATTTCCATGGCAGAAACAGCTAAATATGTTTATATTTTTAATTTAAATGAGTAGGACTTGGTGACTGATTAAAAATTAGTGATGAAGCTGGGCATGGTGGCTCACGCCTGTAATCCCAGCACTCGGAAGGCTGAGGCAGGAGGATCGCTGTGAGTTCGAGCCTGAGCTACATAGTGAGTTCCAATCAGTCTCAACTACATAGTGAGACCCTGTCTCAAAAAACCAAAAACAACAACAAAAAAATTAGTGATGAGGAGAATCTCCCACTTGGTGTTATGGGGTGGCTGATGAAGTCCTATAACTAATGGATGATAATTTTAATTGTCAGTCAACTAATAGCACCAGCTGTGAGTCAGGCACCTTCTAATTGCTTTACAGAGATTATGTCAGTGGGTCTGGTCTGAATGCTTGTCTCCCGTAAAGCTCATTTATTGAAATCCAATCTCAACTTTGATGGTGTAAGAAGGTGAGACCTATGAAGTGATGACATCATGAAGACAGGAGCTCAAAAATGAAAATCAGCATTCATAAGAGGGGCCCAGGGAGCTCATTTCCCCTTCTACCACGTGAAGATGTGGGGAGAAGGCACCACCTGTGATGCAGAAAGGGGGCTCTTACCGGAGGCCAATGTCTTAGTCTGGGGTCCCCTGCCTCCAGAGCCATGAGAAACAAGGTGCTGATGTTTAATAGCTGTCAGGTCTGTGGTGTCGCGTTCCAGCTGCCCAAAGAGAGCAGACAGCAGTTTTCACAACCACCTATTACAAAGTTCTGTAGTTACTCCACTTCGTAGACGAGGAAACCAAGACACAAGAAACAGAGGTAGGAGAACAAGTTGGAGATGGGGAGGGGAGGAGAGTGTGACGGTGCATAGCCGTCTGCTGAGCTTCGTTCCCTCACGCGGTGTAGGCTTACGGCTGGGACACGGACACTTCCCTGTCGGTGACACCAGAGCTTAGATGCCCCTTCCGCTCCCTCTCCTGTCTCAACGTTGACATCAAGACAACATTAGAAGCTGCACACTGAAGATGGCAGAGCCTTCCTCCGTCTGGACCTTTTCATGTCTTTGAGGGACAGATCCTCTGCACCCCACTTTACCCCTCAGCACCTACTTTGGATGCAATGCATGTGAGAAACAAATTTTTGTTGGCTAAGTCCCTAAGACTTGGAGGTATTTTTGTTACATCAGTAATGTAGAGTGCTCTATCTAATTAAAACTAGGTGAAAAGTAAAGACGAATTAAATATTAGACATGTTGAGCTTGAAACACGTTGGACAACCAAATAGAAATGTGCAGTAGATGGTGGAAGTTTAGGTGGAGAAACGTGGGGTCATCGTAATACAAGTTCATCTGTCTGTGCTTGGTCCTACATTTTAAAATAATGTAAAGATAGGAGAGAATGTTAAATCTTGCCTTCCTGCCAGCTCACTCCATGGCTATCCACTAAATGGACTGTGAAACAGGAGGTGAGAAGCTGCTGTCCCTCCAAATGGTTTTATTTCCCTTTTACAGCCTCACGGTGTGAAAAACTCCTCCCTGAGCATGATCCAGTCTTTCGAGAGACAGTTTTCAATATAACGACCTCAGATCTGAGCCATCTCTTACTGAACAATAAAAACAGAACAAAACAAAAACAGTGAATAATCTCATGGGGAGGAAATGCCATTTTTTCCTTGGGTCTGACTGTGGGCTTCTGACCCCACGGAAGACATGTGTGTTTGGGAAATCCTGGTTTCAAGGTGGCAGCTAAATTTGTGAGATGGGGTGGGCTCCCCTAAGGAGATCCCCAAAGTTTGGGAGGTAGGCAGGAGAGCAGTGGCTTATAAAGCCTGATAAGCAGAAGTAGTAGGAGAGGCAGATGAGAACTGAAATAGTGTCCCAAAAGCCAAAGGAGAGCAGAATGATGCCGAAGAGTGAAAAATTGCTTCACAGTTAAGAAAAAAGGAGTCACTGGATTTGACAATGAACATATCATTGGGACATTGGCCATAGCAATTTTGATAGCAATGCAGATATAAAAGTCAGGTTGTAATGAGGGGGAAAGGAGAATGAGAAGTGAGGAAGGAAGAAAGGGACCTGCAATAGTCACCTTCCTATTACTGGGACAAAGTACCCGATACCCACATTTTTAAGGTGAAAAGGATTATACGGGTTCACCATTTCTTAGAGTTCAGTGCATGTTTGGCTGGCTCCAGGCAGAAATATCATGGAAGAAGGGTGTTGGGAGGAAAGCTGCTCAACCCATGGCAGGCAGGAAGAGCCAGAGAGAAGGATTCACCCTCCTGAGACGTACTTCCGTGACCAGTGGCCTCCTCCAGCCAGGTCCCACCCCCAAGCAGCACAGTCAGCTATGAGCACATCAATGGCTAAATCCACTGATAAGTCCTGCGTCCCCAGATCTAGTCGCCTTCTGCGAGTGCCACCTTCAAACACGTGAGACTTTGGGGGAACATTTTAGACCATAACAAGGCTCTAAGAGGTTAGTAAATACAAGCATGGCCAAAGATGAGAAAAAGAGCAAAAGAGAAAGAGAGCGTGTTGGGTACTCTGCAGGGTCCACAAAATTGCTCCACAATTGTCTGGGGTCCAACTGCTCTGATTCAGGTTCTTAATCTATAAAATGGGTTTAGTGACCTTGTCTCAGAGGGGCTTTTGAGGATGAGAGGACAGGTGCGACTGTCCCTTAAGAACCTAAAGCTCTAGGAATGAGGCTGAGTCATGGTATCTCCAGGCACTCTGAAGCCATCTTCCCCATTATGCAGAATCAGCAAGAGGTGAATTCCAGGGCCATGCGGTTCCTTTCCTCATAGAACCGCCGTTACTCAATGCGCTTCAGGTGAGGGCTTGACGAATATTCTGGGAAGCTTCCTCGTGAAACCCCTCACTTCATTTGTTGAAAGATACTGCAGGTGCTTATATGCCATGCACCTGACCCCAAAGGCAGTGTTTAAAAGTTTCTTCTCATCTTAATATAAGCAGTAATTGTGCATATGCTGGACAATTGGCCTGCATTTAACGTCATGAGTGAACAGACAGATTTCCATATTTTCACTGGTTGCTAGAAAACCAAGGGCCCACCCATTACATTAACCTAGGATACCGTGCTGTGTATTTTTATACCAGTGTAATCACCAGTCCTCTTTTATGTCCTTGCTCTTGTTTTCTCCTATTTTAAATCCGTGCCACAAAATTTTACAAGGAATGGCCAAAATGTGGAGTTAATGTTTAAATAAAAACATGTATTACAGTAATATGTAAACTGCCATTAATTTCCATCAAAATACTCCCTCTTGCTTCACATACATGTATCCCATCGTGTTGGGAGTGACGTGTTGCAGATCACTGTGGCCAGGCCTAACTTGCCTCTTTTTTTTTTTTGCAGATGAGGCGGGGCCCCGCATGGAACAAGAAAAATGCATGTTGTTGGTTTCCTCCTGTGGATGAGACAGGACCCTGCTGTGATGGGTACCTTTCATCATGCCAATCTCAGCCTAGATCTCCAAAAGCTTCATCAACATCTCATCCATTCAGCGTGCTCATGTCAGTTTCCTCACCCCAAGGACATGGCAAAATCTGTTCTTGATTCGCTGAATGAATTAAATCCTTCAACCGGGCCCAACATAGCATTGCTATGACCGTAGGAATTCTGATTTTGCTGTTGCTACTACTCACGTTTGCTAGTCATCTTCAGAGTCTTCCTAGGACAACTCACTGAACTTGCCTTAAGCCATCATCTCGAGCTGCAGATTTAAAGTAGAAAAGGGGGAGATGCTGGGATCACTGTGCTGTAGATCACTGTGGACGCACCTAACTCACCTCCTCCCATGGATGAGGCAGGATCCCGCGGGAGGAGAACAGGCAACAAGAGGGCGCAGGGGAGCAAGGCCTGGCGGAGAAGAAAACTGTCTTCCGCCCTGCCCATTCTCCAGAAAACTAAGCCCAATGTCCCACAGACTTAGACTTAGCTACTCTCCTGGCCCCAGTTACAGAACCAGCCCCTAACCTCCACTATAAACAAACGTGTGGTCCTTTGCTTGGGGTCTTTTCTTCCCATTGAGTTAGAGCCCCACCCGGCCCGCCTGTACCTTATTATATCTCTTTGTCTGTCTCTGTTAATCTCTCACCATTGTTTCCCACTCCAGGAACCATTCAGCCACATGGGTCCTGGCACCATCACTCCTGCCACTTTCTGAGGCAGTTTTAGAATTTTTCTTGTGTTTTTACGATCAAAAATTTGGTGAATGCTGCTGCCAAGTGCCATCCAGTGGAAAGGCGGGCTTGTAAAAACATGACAGTGTGTCCTTATGCTCCTGGTTCACTGGATCTGGCACTGTGCAACTTCTGGCTCTTCTCCAAAGTCGAAATGACCATGAAAGGTAAGAATTTTGAATCAGTTCAGGCCATTGAGGCAGCTGCAATGTGAAAAAAAGAGGACTTTAAGAAATGCTTCAGAAAGTTGCAAGAACAGTGGGATACGTGTGTTTAAAGTGGGGGGTATTCTGAGGGGCAATGTGTCTTTCACTGTAATGCATTTTGAAAAGCAAACATTTGACATATTTTTCATTCATACCTCATATAATGCATTTTAATAAAGCCTTAAATGTTTTTATTACAAAGGAAGATAAAAATAATATGGGGGTGATCATTTTCAGCCACGTATTAGATTGGATTTTCAAGTATATATTAATGTGTCTTCATTCTACTTACATATTTCATCATGATGAGACTGCCATGTCTTTGTGTGCCTTTCTTAAGAAACAGAGCTCATACAGAGCCATGGTGGCAAATGCCTTCCATCCCAGAACTCTGGGAGGCTGAGGCAGGAGGGCTACACGTTTGAGCTCAATCTGGACAATTTAGTGGGAACCCCTAGTCGCAAACACAAAACAGAACAAAAAGCCCACTTAAACAAACTCACGACAATAAACAGCATCAGCATTATTGGAGCCCTTACCATAGCTGACTAGTGGTTCATGTGTGTGAATGCACATTGACCCGCTTACTCATCATAACCCTTCCATGTGCACTTTGCACATCAAGGTTAAATAACTGTACAGATAATAAGCGAAGGATTAAGATTGAACACAAGTAATCATCGACAGGTTCCATGCCTTACCCACATATTATACCACCTCTCTCAGGCCTGATGACAACTCTGGGACATAATCACTTCAATATTTAGCTTTGACGCTTTGTAGAATATTGTCCAAAAGAACTAGGGGAGGAGAACAAGATAGACAGACTGAAATCCCTTTCATATAATGGGCAAAATACAGCCAAGGAAATGAGTCTGCCCGAGCAGACGTCCTAAGGGATACAGATCTCTTTGTTAAATGAGAAGTGATTCAGGGCCAGGGATGTAGCTCAGTGGCACTGTGCCTGCCTGGCAAGTGCAAGGTCCTGAGTTCAGTTTCTGGTACTGAAAATCTGCCTCCCTTGACCACAAAAGTCCTAATTCTCTTCTTCCAGTGCTGTTTATATTGGATATGATTTTTAACTTGGTCAGAGTTTTACCCTTCTGGAAGCAGCTGGATGGAATTCAGATGGGATTGTGAGAAACAGAACAATGATAAATGTGTTCTATTGAAAGGTCCTCCTATCTATCACCTTATTAAGGTAAAACACAGTGGCATCAGCACGTTGGCTGCCTGAGCAGATGCCACTGCTGAGACTGGGGCTTCCGGGTTCCCACCCTCTCTTCCTCCTCTGACAGCAGTTAACGAGCTCAGAGCCGTAATCCCCGCCATGCTCTGCTGTCCTGTCTTTAGTGCAGGCTAAGGAAATTCATAATGCTCCTGCTTAGTAAGTATGAAAGCTCCAGTGACCTCCTGCTCGCCCCTCACAGTCAGGCCCAGATGGTGAGTGCCCGCCTCCTCCTCCCAGCCCCTCGGCCCCGGGTCGTGCAGCTTCCAAGGCCCTGCTGCACTCCTAGCATCGCTTCCATTATTCAGTACTCGCCTTGCGTTGTCAGTCACTGATGCAGACAGATGGACGCAAGTGTCAGCCACTACACATCGGTCCCCTTCAGACCGGAACCGCGTCTCCGTGTCTTCACATCTGCCAGAAATGTCTGTTGAACGACTGAGTCCAGGAGAGAATGAGTGAATGAATGGGAAGTTAATCTGCCAGCCTCCCTGATGGACCAACTCTAGCCTTGCTTCCCTCAGGTTTTTGGATCTTCTGCATCTAACTTCCTTGAAGCAGTTAAGGTACAAAGTCTAAGTTCCATGTCAGTCTCTTTCATCAAGAAGTTTCTAGTCATTGGAGTCAGACTTGAGAATTTGCTTTTTGCTTCTCACACGTGAGGCCAGTACTCTACCACTGAGGTATATCCCCGGCCCTGGGAACTTGCTTTTTTTTGGAGACAGGGTCTTTCCATGTAGTCCAGACTGGCCTTGAACTACTATGTGGCCCAGGCTGACCTTGAACTCACAAGGAGATCCTCCTGCCTCAGTCTCCCAAAGGCTGGGATTACAGGTATGTGCCACTCCCAGCTGGGAATTTGCATCTTAACAAGCACCCCAGGTGGGTGGTTACCACATAAATCTGTGAGGCACTGGTTTATCAGAGTATATTTAGTGGATTTTAAAAAATGACTAATTGGAATCAGAGTGAGCACAGTCCCTTCTATACTAATGACAAAGCATAACACTTTTTGTAAGAAATCAACTTCAAGGAAGACAGGGACTTTGAGTGCTGGGGTAACTTACTTACAAAGCTCACTGTATTTTACATTCTGAGGTTGTAAAAGCACTTCTGCCTGCAGCACCATTTCCCCAAGGAGTTTACAGCTTGCAAGAGATCCTGGGAGCAGCAGGCTTTAACGGGCCAACTATGGTTGACCCTTAGCTTCTCCAGTGGTGGCCTGTGTGACCTCTTTGGAAGGGTTCATGAACACTTTTCTGGTCTTTCTGAAACTTCTCAGGATAGGTGACATAGAACATTGCAGTTTTTTGTTTGTTTGCTTTTTGGTTTTTTTCCAGTGCTGGAGATGGAGCCGAGCAAGGGTCTTTGCACTGAGCTATATCCCCAGCCCTTTTTATCTTGAGACATAGCCTCATTAAATTGTGCCAGCTGGGCTCAAATTTGTGATCCTCCTGCCTCAGCCTCCCGGTGTGTGCTGGGATTACAGTTGTGCATCACCACACCCAGCTCCATTACTGTCTTTAAATCAAAGTTTCTGGTTCTCGCGCTCAGCTCAGCATTCTCCCCCCACCGCACCCCATCTTCTCCACCTTAATTCTCCTTTTGTGCTTTGTCTTTATCCCTTCTTAAGCCATCTTGAATCACTGCCATTATTTACCATTTGATAGTTCTCAGACACAAACACACACCCATGTGAGTTCTGTGGGCCGGCTCTGTGCCAAACTGTCTCCTGCTTCCCTAAGTTCCCATTATTCCACCACATACCACATTCTGGCAGGGACAGCTGTTTTCCTGTCTATTTCTTATTTTGATCTACATATTACATTAAAATGGAGCAAAGGAAAGGGTCTCAGCCAACACTGAGAGCTTTTCTTAGAACGCGGACCTACACACTTTCAGGGAAGAGCCAGAGCCACCCAGCTGCAACCCATCATTTGGCGCCATCTGCTGGACACAGGTGGCCTGGGACACTCAGATCTGACAACCTGGCGTGTGAACTGCACCCTGGAACTGTTAACAAACTGTTTCCTGCTGAACAATGCTTCATATCACTTTATGATCATTTTCTCTGAAAACAACTTTATCAACTTCCTCCTCTCCCTCCTTCCCTTTCTCCACCCCCTGCCGGCCTCCTCTCTCTCTTCTTTCTCCTTTTTTCCTCTTTTGGCTTTGGACAAACAGGGTCTCACTATGTAGCCCATGCTGGCCTCGAACCCATGATGGAACCCATGATGGAACCCTGGCTGGCCTCAAACTGTGCATCCTCCTGCCTCAGCCTCCAGGACAGAGTGCCATCTTGGCCAGCCTCTCCAACTTATTACAAATTCCTAACAAGCTAGGCAGTCTTGCCTACCACTTCCTTCCCCATTTCCTCTGCAGTTTCATGGGGTACCATTTTTTACATACTCAGACCTGTCCTGATGGATAAGGTATCTTGGTCAGCCAGGCCAAAATAGCAGGGTAGAAGCCACATCTTCCTTGTCATTGCATCCCTAGCAACCAACACAGTGACTGGTGAATGGCAGGAGCTCCAGAATTGGTTTGCTTCTCTGTTGTGACTTCTGAATAAAATAATAAATATCTGCAGTGGGGGGAGATGTCACACAGATACCCTTATTTTAAGGAGATGTTTGCTCTACACTTGGTGGCCAGTGTAAGTGGCTCATTAAGATCCTACATGGGAGCCTCTCTCCGGCTCTGAAGTACTGAGTCTACTAAGATCCAGAGAGGCTGCAGGTATGGGGGTGCGTGTCTGTAACCTCAGCACTCTGAAAGACTGAGTGAGGCAGGAAGATTACGAGTTTGAACTAAGGCTGGGTAATTCAGTGGCTTAGTGAGACTCTGTCTCCAAAATTTTTTTTAAAAGGGGCTGCAGATGGAATTCAGTGTGAAGATCCTGGATCCAATCCCTAGTACTGCAAAAAGAAAAAAAAAATCTAAAAAGTAGATCAGTAACAAACTCTTGTGAGGAGAGGAGGCAGGAAAGATTTTCTGTGAAGCTGGGCCCAGAAATGGAGGAAACACTAGGTGCTCAATACAATCCCCCCATCCCCATACTAAGGATTGAACCCAGGGAGCACTGAGCTACAGGGTCTCACCGAGTTGTCCAAACTGGCATCAAACTTGTGATGCTCCTGCCTTAGCTTCCTGAGTAAGTAGGAAGACAAGTGTGTGTCCCCACACCTACCTAGGTGCCATACACTTTTTTAATTTTTATTTTTTGGTACCGGTGATCTAACTCTGGACCCTGCGCTTGCAAGGCAGGTGGTAGCACCACTGAGCTACATCCCTGGCCCTGCTCCATAAACTTTTAAAAATTGGTAATTGACAGATGTTCCCAGTGTGACAGTTGGCTTTATGGCTAGGCCAAGGCACCTAGTATTTGGTTAAATGGAATTCACATTTGCAGCCAGTAGACTGAGCAAAGCAGATGAGCCTGCATATTGTGGGTGGGCCTCACCCAACTAGTTGACCACTTTAAGAGTAAAAGCTGAAGTTCCCTAATGTGGAAGAAATTCCCTTCAAGGCTGAGTCTTAGAAACCCTGCCTGAGTGTCTAGCTGCTGCCTTGCAGAATTTGGCTTGAG